CCTTTATTACCACTTAACCAGATGATAAAGCACTATATCATAACTTTAACAGGATGTTCTGCAGCTTAAATCATCATTCAGCCACATGAGCAAGTACATCGGCAGATAACTCTCCACCGAGAAGCAACCGGAACAATACTAAGTGCGAAATAATTAAACAATGACGAATTTAGAAATGACAAACCGAAAGAGAGCAGGTGGAATTGCCAGCCAAGAATAGGGGAGCCAGACAAAAGGCGACCATTGTAAATAAATCCGAGGTAGGGGTATCCGGAATTCCAACGCTTTCGGTACCAGGTTTCGGTAATTCGACTACGCGCTTGTGCAGAGAGGTAAGTCGGGCAAGTCGGTCAGCCAGGAAACACCACGCACGTATGCCCGCCTCATTCAATCTTGTGTTTACCGACCTTATAGAAGCTAAAAGCAAATTGTGAATGACAAAAGGTTGTTTAGATTCCCGGAAGCAAACCTTCGAACAAGAGATGGTCTCAATAAATGAATACATGGATGTCGATTATGCCTTACCGGCAAGAAAACCATATCTACTGGGCGTTTAGAGGACAAAGGTTGCCTAGTCGCGTGGTCCTAGGTGGTCTACCAAGTAGCCAATGAGCATAAGGAAAACACCTAAATGCCCTTATTTGTATTCACAATACACCATGCAGCCAGTAATCTCCGTTAACCGATGACAGAAAACTGAATCAATTATAATGGAAAATTCATCCACGTTGACTCTTATTTACGCTCAATCGCATCACTGTACGCAAAGTACACCACGTTCAATTGATCAGTTACTACTTAGAACCATCTTCCTAATTTTAAGACTGTCGACGAATAACTTGTCAGATTATTATTTTACAGAGCGAAACATCCGCTGATAGGCCTGAAAACTAGGTACACTTACACTTTGGGGGAATGCTGTCTTGACTCGAATCTGGCACAAGAGTGTCCCGAATAAAGTGGATACAGTCAGGTGCGAGTGCTGAAAGAAGTTCCTGGAACAGTTTGAGGTGGTCGCATGTGTTCACGATCGGACTATGTTCGACGGCTAACCGGTAGTCTTTTTCTGCCAGCTGGATAGATAATCGGCTGAGCTCATCCATGAAGCTGAAGAGAGCATAGGGGTGATAAGTCGTCAGTTGGTGAGCATATTTACATGGTAAATCTGCACATATTTCGACAAGTCTTTAGATTTTATAGGTACTAAGGTTGAAATACCAGGAAAAAAGCAATCGTCTATCACGAACAGATACAAGGGTTCCGAAAAAATCGTAAAAATAGAGACAATCTTTCATCTGTTCAATCGTCCATTAAGACCAACTTCCACAGTTGACACAGATATTTACATCCCGACTTGATTTTAGGGAAAAAGTAACAGTGTCTAAGCACTTCCGTGTACAAACATGGAGCTTCCGAAGTCAACACATTGACAGCTTCCACAAATACCGAAAAATGCATACTTACGTATGTTCAGCCGACATTGGAGAGGAAACTGACGAGCGGTGACGAAGCGAGAGGAGATGTAAACAAGATACACAGATGTTGAAATTGAGAGTTGTCTGCGTATAAACAAATGCAGACTATTAAAATTTCAAAATTTATACGAATGCCTTACTAGGTTCAAAAGGCCTTCACCTTTAGCTCAGAAGATATTTTCTCGTTCTCCACAATGCCTATGACCCCGTGAAGAATAATCTATTTTAGAAATAACAGTGAACAAACGTATACACAAGTGTTATGGTGGGAAAAAAATAAACAGAAGCTAGGAGGAACGAATCGCTTACAACGCAGTCGTTAGTTGTGGGACTGCAAGAGATGTCTTCTACAGAGGGCACAATCAACGACCCAAAAGAAGTGGAAGCACAATTTTGTAAATGTGGAGTAATGAGACGCACAGAGAGGTCGACAAAGTGGTGTAGAAAAGTTCCTTTTAATGTTTCCTTAAGGGAATATAAACGGTCATCATGTGAGGAAAACGATTAATCTTAACTTAGGCAACACCTACATCATCTGGTTTGAAAGCAAGAGCTGCATTCTGGATCTGCTTGAGATAGGTGAGCCAAATTTCACCGATCTTCGGGCTGCATGTGAATCTGTCTGAGCCACTAACATAGCGCAGCCAATGACAAGCGGCTACTAGGAGCTGATAGCTATGCTCTGATAAGAAATGAGGCGGAGACGAAAATCTGGGCACTGCAGTAAAAATACATGGAGCGTCAGAATGCAATGCATGAGACTAGAACAGGTAGTATAGATCGAAGCTTACGAGGCTCCTCATTTGAAGCTTGTTTAAGAGTTATGGGCGAGTAGTTAAAAAGACAGGAAAACACATGAACAGCGAGTTCTTGTGCTCTAGCATCTCCATTGTAAACTGAGGTCGAGCTCAATTGATATCGATGGAGGATAGCTAAAATAAACGTAAAAAACAAATAAAAACGACGACATAACTGATGGATTGAATGAAGGGAAACGAAGACGTACGATCTCCAAGACAGGCCGTGATGCTTATATAGCGACCAAGAAGGTTGGCAAGAAACGGAGAAACGAACTAAAGGTTGAACGAATATACATGTCGATAGCTTTCACATGTTCGGAAATTAAATGGTTAAGGTAAAACACTTACCCGTCGAAATCCTCCGGAAAGCATTTGTGAAGGGAGAAGACAGATGAATCTCCACCAAACGTATAAACGCGAAATAGAATGAGATTCATCCACAGGAAAAGCGCGAAGGATATCAAAAAAATTCATGTACATTGGTAGAGTCACAGCCTCCTTCAAACCTGGTTTACAAAATAAGGTGAATGTAGATAACGGGAAGTATAAGAAAAAGAATTTAAAGTAGATTTACCGAATTCTTCAATCTGTTGCAATAAATCTGAGAATAAGGAGAGAGCATCAGTAGGTGAACATGGGATATTTTGCTTTGTGCTACTACTGCAAACAGGGGCCCGTAAAAGTGACAAAAGGAAATCGACCAAATGTATGTGGACTGGTTTAAGTAATAATATCTAAAGGAAAGAATGTGATGATCTAATTAAACAAACTTTTGGGTTCAAGTGAATTAGATTTCGCAAGCTGGTTAGTCCTGCTGTAGGATTGCACTTGAAATACTTCAGGGTGAATAAGACAATGCCCTAAAAAGATCCAGTGTCACTCGTGAAACGTACCTGGGAAGTTTCGAAAAATTCCTTGGACAGCAAAGTAGTCTTAGGAACTTGAAGTCTGAAGCTCGTTTCAATTATTGAACCGGATAATGTTGCCAATAATTCTAATACATCCGAATGTCCTTGACGGACAAACCGAAGCATTAGTTGAATAAATCTGCCAAGTTTTGTGTACTCGGAGAAATCGAAAGCCTCTTTGTGAAGACCATGGGCTTCAATAACCCTAAAAGAAAAGGATACACACTAGCTCTTTTAGTAGATACAAACACGGGAGGAGTTTGGGCGGGGCAACGGGATATCCTATCATGAAAAAGAAATGTCCGGCAGCAACTGGATTAACGTTTGTTATAGTAGTTAAATACATTTATCGAAACCAAATTAAGGGCAAAAATTTGCAAAAAATCCGACACACGTGCACTACAAAGGACCAAAGCGCCTAAAACTCACGTTAGAAGAAAGTGCGAGAAGGTAGCGTTGATGGTTGGATCTTGTAAACAGGCGTTAATATCTGTTGAGTGATTAACAATAACATGTATCTAAAGTGTGTTACGGCGTAAAAAAACTTACGATAAGCGATGGAGAGGAGATTGATCTTGCATCCATTTTACAGAGGAAGCGTTTGAGGCATAAGTCCCAAAACGCAGGACTTGTATGATTATACATGCATTTCAATATAGCCGCAGCCAATCGACAAAACTCATAATTAGGAATTTCAGTTCTGCTTTCGCAAAAGACAAACAAAATACCTTTTTGAAAGGAGAGTAGAAAATATATCAAGAATTAAAGCCCATTCTTGCAGGCTCATGTTTGGTAAACGGGAAACAATCCCATCATTCTCATCCAAAAATTTAGTGAAGTCAACACCATCCATGTTGCAACCCGGATCCAACAAAAACCTAAATTTAGTACTCAATACAACTATTCATACGTTTTTAAGTCCTCAAGAGCTTCCAGGAAGGCCAGAGAACTCACACCAACGCGCATACATTTCGACAAAGCCAGTTGCATTAGAGCGAGATTTAATGCTAAGGGCAAACCATCCGACTATTCTTATTGGATGAGAAAAGGGATATTTACTAATGCTATGATTTATTGCTCCCATTTGCAACAATCGAAAAAGTGAAACTCACATTTTCATTTTAATTATGCAAAAAGATGTTTTGGTATTTTGCAAACTAAGCATTGTTAACAAAGATCAACCCTCTTATACAATCAGCTAATTATACTCTAATTTAATTGAACTTTAGCGCAAATGTCCACTGGTTTAAATGATGCGCCTTAGAAATCAATCGACGTTTCTGATTTACTGAAAAAAGAAAGCAAACTTCGTGCTGAACTTTGCAACTGTAGCAAAATTTGACTTTGAACCTGTGTTTAGAGTGAGAAAAATAGGTAGATTTGCAATCAATCACCTCACTTACTATTTGCTCCGACATGTTTTTTTTAGGTCAAGTATTTTTATGCTTTTTTCTTAATTGCCAACGAAAAATAGAAATACACATCAAAGTTGCAACTACGTGGTTTTGAACCTTATCAGGTGATAGGTACATTGCATCACTGTATCATTAATTTTCAATTGTAAGATTTATTTTCTTAATGAGTAAAAGAAGTCTTCATATGCGCACAAAAATTAACAATAATAATAAGACCACACTGACGAGTTCACATCGTATACGATTAAATCTCAATGCAAAGCTTCTGCAGACCATACTTTTTAATACTTACACTTACTTCATGTTAGAGTTTACAACATCGGAAAGGTAACCTGGTACGCATCGAAATATTACAGTTTTTATCCCTAAAAGAAAAGTGAGGAGTATCATGCAAAACTCACAACTCATACATCTTTAACTCATAAGCCGATTGGTA